AGAATAATCATTGATAACTAACAGAATATTTTGTTATTATCTTTATTAAAAAATATTATTAAACCTAAATTAAATTTCTTTGTTACTAAACCTAAATTAAATTATAATTAAAAAAATTTAATTAAAGAAATTACACCAAAACAAAAGAACTTTTAAAAAGATTAATTTAATACTGGTATCGATATTTTCTTTTCAAAATTTTATGATATTCTTAAATTTATATTTTATTCAAAAATAAAAACATTATCACTTTCTCAAAACCACATAAAACCAATGTTTACTTAAAATTCAAGATTACAGGTAAATTATGCAAAAGTACAACTTATTAAAGTTTGATGTTTGAATTCGTATAACTAATTGCGGATAAACATAATCAAATAGAAGATAAACGTCTTATTTTAAAATAAAAAAAATCTAAAATATAATTAGGATAATTTTATTTAAGTTATACACACTTAACTTCTTGTAATGTATATTTTGGCTCCTTAACTTTTCTATTTTAGTTATACACACTTAACTTCTTGTAATATACATTTTGGGCCCTTAACTTTTTTATTTAAGTTATACACACTTAACTTCTTGTAATGTATATTTTGGCCCCTTAACTTTTTTATTTAAGTTATACATACTTAACTTCTTGTAACATACATTTTGGCCCCTTAACTTTTCTCTTTTAGTTATATACACTTAACTTCTTGTAATGTACATTTTGGCCTTTTAACTTTTCTATTTTAGTTATACACACTTAACTTTTTGTAATGTACATTTAGCCCCTTAACTTTTCTATTTTAGTTATACACACTTAACTTCTTGTAATGTACATATAGCCCCTTAACTTTTCTATTTATGTTATACACACTTAACTTCTTGTAATGTATATTTTGGCCCCTTAACTTTTTGATTTTAGTTATACACACTTAACTTCTTGTAATGTACATTTAGCCCCTTAACTTTTCTATTTTAGTTATACACACTTACTTCTTGTAATATACATTTAGCACCGTAACTCTTGTTGAATCTCTATTTGCATCCCTTATGTGTTTTTAACACAAGGAATAGAAACATTTGTGTTTTCTTCCTGAGCTATTGTAAGACCATGAGTAATGGACATAACATCATCGGGATTAATTAGTTATTGTATATATTTTTCTTGACGGTTAATTAGTCAAGTAACAATATTAAATGAATACTAAGAGCATCTCCAATTGCTATTATATTCATGAAAATTTTGCTCTAAAAATTATGTTAAAACTATCCTTTAAAATATAAAAAAAATCTCGAAATTAAAAAAGAAGAAGAAAATATATAGTATCTTTGTTAGAGATGCTCTAAATAGTCGGATAATGGGGTTAATCATGGTTTAATTGGTATCAATATAATAATGACAAGATTACACAACAAATATTGAAATATTAAAAATAATAGTGTAATAATTAATACAGATTCAACTAATTAAATAATCAACTTAAATCAAATCTTTAATATTATTTTGAAAACTCAAAATAAAACAAATAAAGACTGAACTAAAACCAAATCTACGTTTCAATTTTTACCACTTTAGGGTCACAAGAAAATCACTTTTAAATAAACTAGAGGAGTACTCGTACAATGTAACGAGATACATCTTGATTTTAATATTTCATTTTATTCTTTATCTCATAGATGTTATAATATGCTCTTATGTGATTTTGAACAAGCGATGATGTTTTTATTTTTGAATAAAATATAAAATTGAATATATTATAAAAATTTGATAAAAATATATCAATGTTACTATCAAATTAACTATTTAAAATTCTTCATTTTTTGTGTAATTTTTGAATTCAATTTTTTTTTGTATAATTTAATTTAGGTTTAACG